ATCTTCCTCCTTCAAAAACAGCTCCCGCCCCTGCCGGTGCTGACCTGCCCACCGCTCCCTTGTGGTGTAGTCAGTAAACTTCTATCTCCTTTGTTCTGCCTCAGGTGACTCCTTTCACTTTTCTGTGCCGCCGATTTCCACCTGATCTTCGCCCCACATTTGGGGTTCCCCATCTGATCGAGAGACACCCCATTTAGACACCACAGTCTAATGTATTGGTTTTTCCTTTTACATATTGTCTCCTGGTTTCATATCTAAAAAATTATTTGCCTAACCCAAAGTAAACATTTTTCTCCTATTTTTCTTCTGTCAGCTTTATAGTTTTAGCTCTTATATTTCCATTTATGATCCATTCCATGGTAACTTTTATGTATAGTGTTAGGTAAGGGTCTAAGTTCATCTTTTTGCATGTAGATATCTAATTTTCCAAAAACTATTTGTTGAAAAGGCCATCTTTCCACATTGTACCTTTGTTGAAAATCAATTGAGTAAAGTTATTTCGGTACTCAAGTCTCTTCTATGGATCTGTATGTCTGTCTTTATGGCAGTGCCACATTGTCTTGATAACTGTAGCTTTATAGAAACTTTTGAAATTAGGTAAGGTAAATCCAACTTTGTTCCTTGTCAAAAATCGTTTGGCTCTTGTCTTTATCTATGTGAATTTAGGATCAACTTGTTAGTTTCTACTGAAAATGTCAGCTGTGGTTTTGATAGGGATTGCATGGAATCTGTATATCAATTTGGAGAACACTGTCATCTTAAAACGTTGAATCACCTAATCCATTAACATGGAATGTTTCTCACCAATTTCTCTTAGCACTGTTTTATAGCTTCCAGAGTACTTTCAGAGAATTGCACTTCTTTTGTTAAACTTATTCCTGTTTCATTCTTTTTCAGGCTACTGTGAATGGAATTGCTTCATTAGTTTCATTTGATGATTTGTATGGGAAACTGAGCAGCTCTGCTTTGTTTTTGTTTGTTGCATATATACATATTGCATATAGTTGCATATACATATATATTTTTTAGAGAGGGAGATAGAGATAGAGGGGGGAGGGGGCAGCATAGAGGGAGAGGAAGAGAATCTCAAGCAGATTGCACGCTGACCGTGGAGCCCCGACGCAGGGCTTGATCCCACGACCCTGAGATCATGACCTGAGCCAAAATCAAGAGTCAGACACTTAACCAACTAAGCATTACTTTTAATGGATTCCTTGGGATTTTCTACACACAGATCATGTCATCTGTAAATAAAGACACTTTAACTTCAGGGACACCTGGGAGGCTCAGTTGGTTAAGCATCTCCCTTGGGCTGAGGTCATGATCCCAAGGTTCTGGGATTGAGTCCTGCATCAGGCTCCTTGCTCAGTGGGGAGCCTGCTTCTCCCTCTGCCTGCCGCTCCCCCTGCTTGTGCTCTTACTCTCTCTCTTTCTGACAAAATCTTTTTTTTAAAAGATTTTATTTATTTATTTGACAGAGAGAGACACAGCGAGAGAGGGAACATAAGCAGGGGGAGCTGCAGGAAGAGGCAGAGGGAGAAGCAGGCTTCCCGCGGAGCAGGGAGCCCGATGTGGGGCTTGGTCCCAGGACTCTGGGATCATGACCTGAGCCGAAGGCAGACGCTTAACGACTGAGCCACCCAGGCACCCGACAAATAGAATCTTAAAAAGACACTTTAACTTGGGGCGCCTGGGTGGCTCAGATGGTTAAGCGTCTGCCTTCGCTCAGGTCATGATCCCAGGGTCCTGGGATCGAGCCCTGCCTGGGGCTCGTGGCTCAGCGGGGAGCCCGCTTCTCCCTCTCCCTCTGCTCATTCTCTCTCTCTCTGTATCTCTGTGTCTCAAATGAATAAATAAAATCTTTAAAAAAAAAAAAAGACACTCTAACTTCTTCCTTTCCAATGTGTATCCTAATTTGCATTTCTATCCTATGCCCTCCTGGGAAAGGCTGAAAGATTCTCTGCTCTAAATCTTTTTTTTTTTTAAAGATTGTATTTATTTATTTGACAGAGAGAGAGAGAGAGCACAAGTAGGCAGAGTGGCAGGCAGAGGGAGAGGGAGAAGCAGGCTCCCCGCTGAGCAGGGAGCCGGACGCGGGGCTCCATCCCAGGACCCCAGGATCATGACCCGAGCCGAAGGCAGCCACCTAACCGACTGAGCCACCCAGGTGCCCCTCTGCTCTAAATCTTTTAACTCAGTTACCAAAAGCTCACCTGGGGAAGGGAGAAGTAGTTCTAAAAACCTTATAGTGATACAGAAGAAGCTGCTGATCTCTTGTTCTAGAGGATGTTTCATATTTCATAGCACACCCCCTGCAACAATGGTAGGAAGCTCTTCTCCTGGGCTAAAAAGACATGCCCTCTAGACACCAGACCCTGTTAGGCAGGGTTACCTCCTGCGTTCATATAAGAACTAGGTGGGTAAGGGGCGCCTGGGTGGCTCAGATGGTTAAGCGTCTGCCTTCTGCTCAGGTCATGATCCCAGAATCCTGAGATCGAGCCCCGCATTGGGCTCCCTGCTCAGCAGGGAGCCTGCTTCTCCCCCTCCCTCTGCTTCTCCCCCTGCTCATGTTCTCTCTCTCTCTCTCTCTCTGTATCTCTGTATCTGGAATGAATAAATTAAAAAATCTTAAAAAAAAAAAAGAACTAGGTGGGTATATTAAGTGATAATCACTGGGTATGAGGAAATAGGGATTGGAAGCTGGCAGCCTGGAGTGCCTGTGCTTTGTCTATGGGGCAGCCATGACTCTGCTTTGATGACCGTGTCCGTGTGGGGTGATGTTGTACAGAGTTTCTCAGGACCTGCAAACCTTCATATCTGCCACAGCCATACGAACCGTCAATTAAATATAGGGAAAATGGAATCACAGAGACTTTGTAACTTGTCCAAGAGCAGCTGGTACATCAGTGTACAGTGTGTGTAGCTCCATGGTCTGCACTGTTAACCACCTCATTATCGATAGAACACCTGTGGGAGTGTTGTGAACTTTAAATAAAAGCACACATTTTAGGGGCACCTGGCTGGCTCTATCTGTAGAGTATGTGACTCTTTTTTTTTTTTTTTTTTAAGATTTTATTTATTTGACAGAGAGAGACAGCGAGAGCAGGAACCACAAGCGGGGGAGTGGGGGAGGGAGAAGCAGGCTTCCCGCAGAGCAGGGAGCCCGACGCGGGACTCGATCCCAGGACCCTGGTATCATGACCTGAGCCGAAGGCAGACGCTTAACGACTGAGCCACCCAGGCGCCCCAGAGTATGTGACTCTTGATCTCAAGGTTTTGAGTTCTAGCCCCAGGTTGGGTGTGGAGATTACTTAAAAATAAAATCTTTAAAAAAATAATAACACCTTTTACGTAGAAGGCATGTGCTTATTTGCCATTCATATCTCTTCTTTAGTGAAGTGAGTGTTCAAGTCACTTTTGCCCATTTTTAAAAATTGGGTTGTCTTATTAGGTTTATGAATTTTTCATCTATTCTAGATTCAGGTCCTCTGTCAGAATTTTTTTGCAGACAGTTTTCCCAGTCTGTGGCTTGCATTTTCATTTTGTTGATGTGACTATTGAAAAGCAAAAATTAAAAATTTTGATCAAGTTCAATTGATTTATCTTTTTCTTGTTATGCTTTTTGTTATATTTAAGAAATCCACCAAATCCAGGGTCACTGTGCTTTCTTCTGGAAGTTTTATTAAGTTTTATATTTATGTCTATGATGAATTTTGAGTTAGCTTTTGCATATGACTTGAGGTAACTTAGAGGTTTGTTACATGTGGCTATCCAGTTGTTCCAGCACTGTTGGTTGAAAAGATTATCTTTTTCCCTATTGAATTGCCTTGGCCTATTTTGTTTGGTACATGGAACCCAAAAGTCCACTTGGCATCTGGCTTCAGGGACTAAGTAGATCTGGGGCTCAGTTGATCAGAAGGGCTGCTTCTGACCATCACTCTACACTGCCTTCTTCCGTGGCTGGTTCACAGGACAATCTTCCTGTAGAGTCAAGATGAACATGAGTAGCCCCAGTTTATAGACGCTGAGCCACGAGGGCTTTGTTTTAGATGCTCCAGCACATGCACACGCACACGCCCAACTACACAGACACACGTACACACACACAGCAAGCCAGCTGCCTTGCACAGAGCCCTGATGGGGAGAGCAGAAGTCAGGTTCAGGTCAGGGCCATTTCACCAAATCAAGGACTCTTTGCCAAAAGAATTCATTTTATAAGCTCTACACACAGGTGACCATTCAGGATAAAAGGGATTGAGTTCTCATGATGAGTGTCTGCCCTACTTTGATGGCAGGTCTGAGCTCCACATGGCTCAGCTGGACTTGAACTCTAATCCCAAGCAGCCCTTCCATGTTGGTGCAAGGCAGTTGTTACACTCAGGAAGGAGAAGCCTGAGCAGGCCAAGGACCCCTGGATACTTCATCAAGCTGGGAGGACTTGAACTTCACATAAGTTGGTACTGTGGAGAGATCAAACACTCAGAACCAACAGACCTTTGTTTGCTATGTTCTGGTACCACCAGGGAAATACTGAGGTTCCAGTAAATTGGTTGGTGTGTGCAGATCCTTGGTGAGGAGAGTAGAAGACAGAAGACTTCATTCATGCATTGGGAGCAGTGTTTTGAGGTCTCTCTGACCGTAGCTGGCCACATGGGTACAAGGAGTTGAGCTCTTGATGATCCATGATCCCTTTTCTTGGAAGCCTGAAACCCCAAGGTTCAAATGGACTTAGGTTCTAACTCCAAGCCCCCCACGTTAATGGAAGGCAATTATTATACCCAGAAGGTCCAAGGGGTGCCATGATACCTTGGGATGCGGGGAGCACTTAGGCAGACCTGCCACATGCTTGGCCGACCACAAGCCTGCCTGGGATCCTGCCATCCCTCACATGGTCAGCCTCAGGGAACTGGGGGGTCCTGAGTGGGGTAGCAACAACAGTGCCACCTCCCCTGCTACATGCTGTGGGGTAAACACTGTGCCCAAAGCCTTCATAGCTGGGGAACCCTGGGCTCCTGACAGCCTGATTTGCTTATTTTCTGACCGTTTCAAGTGTTGGACCAGGAACACATGTGTAGCCCATATATATAGGTTGCTTATATACCTGTAAATTTTGTATAGAAGTTTTCAACATTTATAAAAATCAAAAGGCTTCACATAAGCACATGGATCTCTCACTCTTGGAAAACCAGAAAATGGGGGCAATCAAATGTTGATTCCATCCTCTCTGATCCCTGTACCCAGGGACAGCCTTGTCTTAGTAGCATTAAAAAACAGCAGATGATGAAGACCATGGATACCACACTGACCTAGAATACTAGCTGAGCTACAAAAGTCCTGGACTGTGCATTGATGGCCTTGAAGTGATCAGCGCAGGGAGACTACAGGAATCCACACCACCATTAGGTTAGGTTATTTGCTCCAGCAGTGAGCAGCATACTGCTGGCTATGCCCATTGTAAAGGGTCAGTGGACTTGTGCTAGAGGACAAGATGAGAGTATGCGGGACTTCCTAAGATCTGCAGAGCTGAGTCTCTCCTATGGCCAAAGTCAGTGTCAACAAACTTGGCAAACACTCCATATCAGGTGTTTTTTTCCCAGTTGTTTTTTGTTTGTTTTCAAAGAACTATTGTTTGTTCATTTTTTTTGTGGTATAAATTCTACCATGGCTGATTGAAAGCCATTGATGTGATTGTTACTGAACGTGGAGTTGAACACAATTCTTGTGAGTGGGTATGATGTGACTAAAGCATAGCATCTCCTCTGTTTGCCAGTCTCACTGACTCCCTCACCTCAAAACCAGTGTTTCTGTACCCACTTATGGTTCTACCTGGCCCCTGAAGATCTTACGTCCAGTGATAACCTGGACATCAGGGGCCTTACTCATGGACAGGTCCCAGGAGACAGTGGCCCTTCAACTCTACTGGAGAATGTGGGACATTCCCAGGAACAAAGAACCCAACCCTTGCTGCCCAGGAAGGACTAGTTTGCAACACCCAATGTCCAAAGCTCTGGGCCTATCAGATTGTTCTGGCATCCAGGACACAAGATTTAACCCAGAGACTTTCAGCCTGTCCCAGAAGGCCTTGGGCCTAGACTGCAAGCTGTTGTGTGCCATCTTGCTGTTGAAGTTGAGGTCTCCCACTAAGGCCTTTCTCCCTCTTTATCCTGTTAGAACCCAGTTCTGTTCTCCATCTCCCCCTGCACACAGTGGATGGAGACTAAAAATGGCTTCAACAGGAAGGCCTTTATTATCACACACTCTGGGGACAGGCAGTTCCAGGGTTGGGTGATTTGGAGACCTCTGCCTTCAGCTCAGGTCATGATCCCAGGGTCATGGAATTGAGCCCTGCATTGCACTCCCCGCTTAGTGGGGAGCCTGCCGCTCCCCCCTACTTGTGCTTGCTCTGTTGAATAAATAAATAAAACCTTAAAAGAACAAAAACAAAAAAAAACCAATACCCACAAAAGAGGGAACTACTTCTGCAAGTCCTCAGACTCCAGTCAGATCCCCCTGGAGAGAAAGAGGTCAGGGCTATGCCTGAACCACTGGGGACAGGGCAGAAATGAAAATGAGGCCACCCCAAAGAGTTCCCATCACTCATGTCTCCCTCCAGGGAATGAGAGAGCACAAAATCAGCCTTCCCTGAGTATGATGAGATGGCAGGCTGTGGGGGGACCTGCCAGCCGGTAGAAGTGAGATGGCATCTGGCAATGACATAATCTGGCAAAGCACCTGGACAGATTAGAAAATGTGATGTAGCTTCTGAAAGCTTCCCATGTATCTGGCAATCTCCTGGTAGGGGTGTTAGGATATTTTTCAATTTTTGGCTTATGGCTTCTTCACAAAGTTTCCTTTCACAGAAGTTTTCTCAGGAGTGAACTCTATTAAGGTGAACAAGAAAATGCCCCTGTTAGTTAGTGGTTTTCCACATTTGCCACAATATTAAGGCCTCTCTTTGGTATGACCTTCATTGGTGCCGACTGAGGCTGGAACTCTGGCTGAAGGCATTCCTATGTCCACTGCACTCAGGTGGCTCTTCTCCAATATGAACTTTCTGGTGCTTAGAGAGGTTTGAGCTGTAGCGGAAAGTTTTCCCACACTTGTTACACTCATAAGGCTTTTCTCCAGTGTGAACTCTCTGGTGCTGACTGAGGATGGAACTCTCACTGAAAGCTTTCCCACACTGGCTGCACCCATAAGGCCTTTCTCCAGTGTGAACTTTCTGGTGTTTAACAAGGTTCGAGCTATAGCTGAAGGCTTTTCCACACTCACTGCACTCATAAGGCCTTTCTCTGGTGTGAACCTTCTGGTGCTGAATGAGGGCAGAGCTTTGACTAAAGGCTTTTCCACATTCCGAGCACTCATAAGGCTTTTCTCCAGTATGAATTCGCTGGTGTGGAACAAGGTTGGAAGGGCAACTGAAGGCTTTCCCACACTGGTTGCATTTATAAGGCCTTTCTCCTGTATGACTCCTTTGATGCAGAATAAGTTTGGAGGTTTGCCGGAAGCCTTTTCCACATTCGCTGCACTCAAAAGGCCTCTCTGTGTTGTGAACTTTCTGATGCCGAACAAGATGAGAGCTGTTAATGAAGGCTTTCCCACATTCATTGCACGCATAAGGCCTTTCCCCAGTGTGTATTTTCTGGTGCTCAACAAAACTGGCGATACAGCTAAAGACTCTCCGGCACCGTCTGCACTCATAAGGCCTTTCTGTGTTGTGAACTTTCTGATGCCGAACAACGTGGAAGCTGCGAGTGAAGGCCTTCCCACACTGGCCACACTCATAAGGCCGTTCTCCAGTGTGAACTCGCTGGTGCTGAACAAGGGAGTGTTTTCGGGTGAAGGCTTTCCCGCATTCACTGCAACTGTGATGCAGTTTTCCAGTATGAACTTTCTGATGTGTCCTCAGCTTAAAAGGGTGGCTGAAGGCCTTCCCACATTCTGTACACACATGGGATGTTTCTCCAGTGTGATTTTTTGGGGGATGAACAATGGTGGAGTTCTCTTTAGGGGCATTTCCCCCTGTTGGGCATCTGCAGGGTCTCTCTTTGGAGTGAGTGAGCAGGTGGTCTAGGAGCATGAAGGCCTTTAGAAAGCCTTTCCCACAGTTGCTGCACTTGAAGGGGTTCTGCGTGGCGTGGACTCTCTGCTGCTGCTGGAAGCTAGAGTTGGGTTGGAAGGCCTCCTTGTGCGTGGTGCTCCTGTGTGGCTTCCGCATGCTACGGGTGGGTGGATACTGCAGGAGGTCGTGGCTGTCCAGGACATCCTTAGCACGTTCGCTACTTGTGAAGCGTTTTTCTCCACGGTGCTCCTTCTGGCGCTGGTGAGAGTTTGTACTGAGCCAGAAGCCTCTCCCACATGTCGCACACTTGTACGGTTTCTGCCTAGGGTATATTCCCTGATGCATAGCCAGGTGTAATATGTCTTTCAAGACCAGGCCACACATGTCACAGGTGTTAGCCTTCTGGGTGGAAGGACATGCTTTAGGGGTCCTGAAATGGAGCGCTCCTTCTACAGAAACACTCTGTTCAAGAGGGGCTTCCTCTACTCCACACCAACAACCTGAAAGAGAAATACTGGTGAAGTGTATATAGGCTTTGTTGGGAGAGGGCAGCCCCTTCACAGATGTGGATTTGACAAATTTAGCAGTGAGTCTGAGGGTTCAAGTCAGGGTGAGGTAGAGCTTGTGGTGCAGTACTGGGCCCAGGAAAACCACCGAAAATGAAGATTCAGCACGTGAGAACACAGGTGTAGGGTTCCGGCTGGGAGGAGAGGCAGGAACTGCAATTCCTCAGCTTTCAGCAGGACCCAGTACAGGCAGGCCCCAGATCTCTGATAGGAACAGGGGACACAGAGTGGTGTGCACGAGCCCAGGAAAATGCAGCTGCAACCAGGCATCTGGTGCTTAAAGCCTATATGAGGATATGTGCACATCTCATAATACATTGACTGTGGGCTAATGTGGGACATCCCTGTAAAGGGAGGAGTGGAGGGGACTGAGGAAGACACAGAGATCAGAGCAGTGTCCAGGGAAAAAGTAGAAATGGCAAGAATGTGGTGTCTAGAATGAGGAAGGAAAATGGAATAAGGTCCGGCTACTGGCCCCAGCAACAAACACTACTGGATATAGGGCAGGTGCCCAGGACAGTGTGAACCCAGCCCCCATGTCACCTCTGCTCCAGCTCCCACTTAATAGAGCCAGACCCCCTCCCAGCCTCTCTTGCAGTATATGGAGTTATGTCTACCCTGTTAGGCTTCTTTGTCCTTTTCCGGGTGAGCAACCACACAGGACCTGAAAGTTTTAAGTCCTGGGAAAAAGACAGGGTGGGTGAGTGGCTGGGCCAGCCAAGGGCAACCTACCCTGTGGCAGACCAGAGGGAGCTCACGTCATCTTTGCAACTGGGAAGAAAACTCAATGTTACAAAATAAGCCTCCGAGGAGCATCTCACAGGAAGAGCCCAGTGGTCATCACGAGTAATAACCACATCAGTGTCTATAGTCCATGACATAGCCAGGCTCCTGGAAATGTCTGATATAAAAAGGGGAGAAGAACCTGGGCACAGAGGTGCCACTGCTCTAGACAAACTCAGGCAGCCAGACTGAGACCCTCAGTCCTGAGCCCTTCCCCAGAAAGGGAAGCAGATATTGGGGCTCCTCAGGGAAAGGAGCAGGCTGTGCCTGTACCCCAGCTCTGCACACACTGCACATAGCCCAGAGGAGGAAGCAACACCCTTGCTCAGCTGTAGGAAGAAAGAGCTGTTCCTGGGAGAAAAGGAAGGACAGAGACTAGAAGAGGAAGCTGGGGGGTGGGAGGGCCTTACCCAGTGAGGCCACAAGCGCCAAGTTCTCAAGCATCACATCGTGGTGCAGGTGCCTCTGAGTCTCATCAAGGAGCTCCCACTCCTCACGGGAGAAGTACACGGCCACGTCCTCAAAGGTCCCCCAGTCCTGTCATGATGAGGACAGCTAAGTCAGACCACAGGGCAGCAAAAAAAACCTAACAAAAAAATACAAAGATGAACCCATCCAGACCTAGGCCTGTGACCTACATGCTGCCACCTTTCTGGTGGGTAGTCTCTAACCCCCAAATCACCCCTGCCAACACACTCCTAGGTCACCCTTCTCCCTAAGCTCCCACGCCATGGGTGCCACTGTCTCCTTGTGTCCCACTGATCACTGTGGCCGCCTTCACACAGCAGGGAGGTGGGCAGATAGTTGCCACAAGCTCTGGGCCTGGTTGTGGGGTCTCACTGCCTCCTACCAGGCAATTCCCTTGGCTGCCCAGATCCTGCCTCCCAGAACAACCAAATGGGGGCTCATCTTGCGTAGGCCCCCAGGACCAGGACTCTAGTCCATCAGTTCATACTCCCTCTGCACGTGCACGTCCACCTTTGTACCACACATCTCCAGACCCCACCACCATCCCATGGCCCATTCTTCCTCCCAGCAGCCCTACAGATCACTCTGCAAATGGGTGTCCAAAATGTGGCTAACTTGGTGAGGTCAACCAGGAACCCATCCTGACCCAGACTTCCAAAAGTCCCAACTTCCAGAGGTGGCACCCAGCCTTCCTTCAGTTTCTCTAACTGACCCTAGTCCTGCCTTTAACCCGTAACCATCCAGGCTGGGCCACGAAGACTTCTGGGACCTCCAAGTCTCTCTGCCTTTATTCATGCTGTCCCCTCATCAGCCTCAGGATTCCTCTTTCCTCCTGATGCACGAAGCCCAGCCCCACCACCTCCCACCCCAGGCCTGGGACACTCGCAGCTGACTGCCACGGGGCCGATCTGCCATCCTGACTGAAACCCTCAGGCCCCACAGAGGGTGGCCAAGAAATGCTGGTGAGCCCACAGAGAGGTGACTAAACATGAGCCTCAATTCCACTGTCATGCTACTTGCATCTCCAGTATGCCTCAGCCTCTGTCCCGGGGATCTTGGTCACTCCCTGGACCCTCCTCTCTCAACACACCTTCTCTCGAGGCTCCTCCTCCCTTCAGCTGACCTTGTGACACCCACCCACCCTGCCCAGGACCCGGGCCAGCCACCCAGTCCTCAGCTGCCCCTGTAGGGCATCCTTCACCATAAGCTGAAGATGTCCCCTCTCCAGTCCGAGCCAGAGCTCCACCTCAGCTCACATGCTGACTACTGCTGGCTGGATGTCTCCCAAGTGGAATTCCTCGGCAGGACTTAGACCTGCATGTCCAGCTGCCCATTCGGTACCTCCAACTCGAAGTCTCTAGGACTTCTCAGCCTCAACAGGGTCAAAATCTGCCTCCTGATCTTCCCTGAAACCTCTTCGACCCAGCAACCTCCCCATCTCAGTCGATGCACTTCAATTCCACCTTCTAGTAACCGAGGCCAAAATCCATGGAGCCATCCCAGCCTCTCCCCCTTCGCTGCACATCATAAAATCTGGCTGGCTTAAAAGAAAGATCCAGAATCCAACCACTTCTCCCAACTCCAGTCACCACTCAGGCCAAGACACCATCAGCCACTTGATCTAGTAAAAGAGCGCCCTTACGGGCCTCCCTTTCTGCCCCCTCAACCTCACCCCTACCCCACCCTACCTCTCGTTTCCACTCTGCAGCCAAAGGGAGCCTGTGAACACCCGAGTCAGATCACCGTTCTCCTCTCCTCCAAACCGTCCGTGGCTCCCGCCACCCTCAGGCCAAGCTCCCCAGGATGCCGCTCCAGGCCTGACCCCTGCCCGCCAGACATAACGGAGACCTGTAGTTCCCCGAACACCCCCAGCTCAGCCTCCTCTCTAAGCACTTGCGCATCCCGGGCCCGATGCCTGAAACCGCTCTCCAGGTCTCGTCCCGCTGGATTCCAGAACTGTGAAACTTCCCACATAACCTCTGGCTAGGACTCAGGACCTCGGGCTTGGGGTGATCCTAGGGTCCCAGCAGCAAAGGAAGAGAAGTGGAGGTGGAGGAGAAGCGTCCAGGGACTCCCCACTGCCCTCTGTCGTGGACCCCGGGCCGTGCGCATGGGGACGCGGTGAGCGAGGGCGGCGGGCGCCCTCCACTCACCCGCGCCGGGTCCGCCAGCCCCGCCGCCGCCGCCGCCGCCGCCATCGGACCCGGGCAGGCCCTGAGTGCTCAGCCGATCCGCACAGCTCCACTGGGCCAGGGGCCCGCCCGCCGCCCTCGCGATGGGGGCGTCAGTCAGAGGGGACGGAGGGCGAGTGCGGAGGAAGGCAGCCCCCTTACAGGAGGTGGGCTGGGTCGAGGCGCGGCAGGCGGTCTCATCCTCCTTAGTGTCCCCCCGGCTGGGTCCCAGGGAGGCGCCCGGAAGGCGGCCCCGACCCGGAGCTCCGGTCCCCAAGGGCGCCGTTCCACGACCTGTCAAGAGCGAAATGAACGTCCACAGGGCAGACGCCGGAAGTCCGGGGAGCCGCAGGAAGTGGCTCTTGTGTGCTGTGATTGGCTCGTCGGTCGCCGCCGTTCCCCGTAGCCTTCTGGTCGCTGTAGTTTCTGCCCCGCATAGGCCGGGCCTGGGGCGCCCGCAAGTTCCCCCGGCAACGCCCAAGCGGCCGCGCAAGGGGCCCTGGGAAGTGGAGCCCGAGGTTCAGAAGGGCCGCCGTGTGCTTTCGCTTCCTCCCGGGGGGAGATGCGGGTGACCCGCATTCTGGAGTGGGCGGACGGCTCTGAGGGGGCCCTGGGGAACAGCCTCACTTGTGCATTGTCCCCCCCCAGAGACTGGGCTGAGCCTAAACGTTCTGTGCCTTGTCGCTCTTGGGGGTCCTGATGCTCTCCCACAATAGCTCTGACTCAAAATCCAGTAATGAAATTTGACAAATACTACAACTTGACTCGTGAGAAGTGACGTGGGACGTGTTCAGCACAGGGCCAGGTACGCAGTGCTGTGAAACCTAGTAAAGGGGAACCTCACGAAAATGGAGTGAAAGGGGGAGCTCTCGCTTGGTGCGACAGGAAGTCAAGAATTACCAACAGAAGAATCTTCAGGAAAGAAATCCCCGATTACAGGCCCCAGCAGGAAAAGGTGTGCATTGCATCTCCTACGGGAAATGAATGGGCCCTGCAATTCAGCCAGGGAGAAACTAATCACCCTGAGCCCTTCTGCAACGGACCTTCCTTCAGAACAGCCCTTCCTCGGCGTAAAATATCATTCTTCTCCTTTGTTAGACTTGCCTGCAGTTTTGCTCTAGCTTGCATGTCCAGAATTGTAATTCCCTCCTATTCCCAAATAAACCCATTTTTGCTGGTAAAGTAACTGTTTTATTTTTAAGGTTAACGCTACTGAATAAATAAGAGAGCTGTTGTTGTCATCATCATCATCCCAAGGCTCTCACAGCACTGCCAGGGAAGGGTAAATTGGAAACACCTCTCTAGAGAATCATTGTTGACATCTATCAAAATATAAAATGCACTTATCCTTGACCTAGCAAGTAGCCGTGTAGGCAATGTTCAAATTTTTTAAAAAGTATATTCTTGTACTGTGGTAGGCAGAATATGATGACCCCAAAGATGTCCAGGTCTTAATCTCCAGAACATGTAAATAAGTTATATTACATGGCAAGGTGGAACTTAAATGGTAGGTGGAATTAAGTTGATAATCAGCTGACCTTGAGATGTGGAGATTATTCCGGATTATTTGAGGTGGCGGGTGGGTGGACAATGTAATAGCAAAGGTCCTTAAAAGGGGAACAGGGAGGGGGCACCTGGGTGATTCAGCCAGTTAAGCATCCGCCTCTTGGTTTCAGCTCAGGTCGTGATCTTGGGGTCATGCGATCGAGCCCCGCATCGGGCTCCGTGCTCAGCGTGGAGTCTGCTCAAGATTCTCTCTCCCTGTCGCGCTCGCTCCCCTGTGTCCTTCCACCCTTCTCCCTGCTTGCACAAGCGCACTCTCTCTCATAACTAACTAAATAAAATATTTTATAAACAGTGGTGCAGGGAGGCAGTGCAGATTGAGAGAATTAAGATGAAGCCATCTGTCTATGCCTGTCCAGAAAAAAACAGACCCCTGTAGGCAGGCTCACCACCGTAAGACCTACAGTGAGAGTGACAGGGTGTAGATCCTAGGGAAGAGACAGAGAGACCAGAACCCAGCAGGCAAGGTCACTGCCACAGAGTGTCACCCCTTGCCCTCCCACTGTGTCCTCAGAAGCAGATGTTGCTATCATCACTGAGAACCACTGCATGCTGGCAGTGACTCATTTCTATTCCCTGCCTCCCCAGCCATACCCCTAGCTTTAAGGTGATGTAATTAACCTGGTCTTTATTGTCACACAGTCCAGAGCAGTCTGAGGTAAGAAAGGGAGTGGTCCTTAGAACATTACAGGTGCCATGTGCAGACCTAACCACATCCATGAAGCTGGGCAGCTTTCCCTGAGCTGCCAGTAGACACACTGCAGGTCTCCTTGGCCATAGCAGGTCAGTTCCTGGTCACTATACACTTAGGGCCCCATGGCTTCTCCCTGTCAGAGGAGGGGTCCTGCCGAAAGGTCATATCTGTCAGGAGGACTTACCTCCATGGTCTGCAGGGAAAGGGCATCTCCATGAGTGGGCACTGCAGGCTGGGATCAGAAGAGGCCCACCCACGCCCCTTCTGCAGCATTTCTTTCCACCGTGATGCTTCCAGTACTGGTGGAGGCTCAAGCTGAACTAGGAGCCTCTCCCCATGTCACCTATGTCACGGCTTTCATCCAGGGTGCTTCCTTGGTGTGTAGCCAGGTGTCTTTGAAGACGTGTGCATGCGTGTCACTGAGGTAGGCTTTCCAGTTTTCAGGGCTGCCTGGTGGTCTTAGCCTGTGACCCCAGTGGTGCAGATAAACTCTGCTCAGATAGCAGCCCCTCCTCCACTCCATGCTTCATGATGACCTTGGCATGGGTTGGGTACTTCTTTTTTTTTTTTTTTTAAGATTTTATTTATTTGACAGAGAGAGACACAGCAAGAGAAAGAATACAAGCAGTGGGAGTGGGAGAGGGAGAAGCAGGCTTCCCGCTGAGGAGGGAGCCCGATGTGGGGCTCGATCCCAGGACCTGGAATCATGACCTGAGCTGAAGGCAGACACTTAACAACTGAGCCACCCAGGCGCCCCTGGGTTGGGTACTTCTTCACAAGTGTGTGTCTGGCACACCCAGGAATGATTCCTTGGGCTCCAGGGCAGGGCAAAGAGACTGATAATTGGGTGAGAAGGGAGCCCAGCTAGGCCACAGCACAGGGGTGCCTGCCCACAGATGAATCCACAGGATAGGTGCATGCAAAGGAGAGGCAGCTTCTCCCACTAGCCTGTCTGCAAATGGGATTCTCTCAGGCCTCAGTGCTAGTGACAGGAGTGCCAAACTGGGTGGAAAGCTGGTAACACCAGGGCTTCAAATCCCCAGAGGGGACAAGTGCCCACCCACCTCTAAAATCTTGCATTTCAGGGTACGTGAGCTACGCAGGGAATGTGCTAGTTTCCTATTGCTGCCGTAACAAATTACCATAAACCAACCGAATGGCTTAAAACAACATAAATTTACTCTTCCAATTCTAGAGGCCAGAAGTGTGAAAGTAAGTAGCTGGGCTAAAATCAAGGTGTTACCATACTGTTTTCTTCTGAGGCTATAGGAGAGAATCTGTTCATTACCTTTTCCAGCTCGTTGAGGAAGAATGACTTCCTTCCTCACATCACTCCAACCTCTTGCTTCTGTTGCTGCATCTCCTACTTCCTCCTTTGACTTTCTGGTTCCACAAAAATGTGGTTTTCACTGACATTTAATTTTCAGATAGCAGAGGAACCTAAAACTTTTTTTTTTAGGGGGAAAGTAATTTCAGATCATAATTACTACTACTCTTTTTTAAATTGTGGTTAAATATATATAACACAATATTTGTCATTTTAACCATTTTTTAAAGATTTTATTTATTTATTTATTTGAGAGAGAGAGAGAGAAACAGCATGAGAGGGGAGAACGTCAGAGGGAGAAGCAGGCTCCCCGCTGAGCCGGGAGCCCGATGTGGGACTCGATCTCGGGACTCCAGGATCATGACCTGAGCCGAAGGCAGTCGCCCAACCAACTGAGCCACCCAGGCGCCCATTTTAACCATTTTTAAGTGTACAATCCCATGACGTTAATTACATTCATCATGTTCTAAAACCATCACCACTACCTATTTCCAAAAGTTTTCCATCACCCAAACAGCAACTCTGTACCCATTTTTTTAAAAGATTTTATCTATTTATTTGAGAGAGAGAATGAGATAGAGAGAGAGAGAGCACATGAGAGGGGGGAGGGTCAGAGGGAGAAGCAGACTCCCTGCTGAGCAGGGAGCCCCATGCGGGACTCGATGCGGGACTCCAGGATCCTGACCCGAGCCGAAGGCAGCGGCTCAACCGACTGAGCCACCCAGGCGCCCCAGCTCTGTACCCATTAAACAATAACTCCCCATCCCCCTGCCCTGGCCTCTGGTAACTTCTAACCTACCACCCACCGATGACTTTGCTGATTCTAGTGATTTCCTTTAACTGCCCCTGTCCTTTTGTGTCTGGATTATTTCACTTAGCATAATGTTTTCAAGGTTCATCCATGTTTTAACACTTACCAGTACTTCATTCTTTTAATAGGTGAATGGTATCCCATTGTATGCACATAACACATTTTGTCCATTCATCTGCTCATGGACTCTTGGGTTGCTTCTACCTTTTTCGCTATTATGATTAATGAGCAATGAACACTGGCATACAAATATCTGTTTGAGTCCCTGTTTTCAAATCTTTGGGTATGTATCTAGGAGCGAAGCTGCTGGGTGATGTGGTAATTCTATCTTTAACTTTTTGAGAAACTGCCAAACTATTTTCCATAATGGCTGTGCCATTTTACATTCCATCCAGCAGCATATGAGGTTCCCGTTTTTCCACACTCTAACCATTCTTTTTCTTTTTTTTTTTCATGATAGCAATCCTAGTAGGTTTGAAATGGTATCTCATGTTTTGATTTGCATTCCTCTAATGACTAATGAGTTGAGCATCTTTTCATGTGCTTATTGGCCATATGAATATCTTGTTTAGAGAAATGTCTGTTCAAATTCTTTGTCCATTTTTTAATTGGGTTGTTTATCTTTTTGTTATTAAGTTCTTGATGTATTCTGGATAGTAAGCCTTATCAGATATATGATTTGCCAATATATTCTCCTATTCTATTGGTTGGTTTTTCACTGTGTTTGTAATGAATACCCTTTGATGTACAAACATTTTAAATTTTGACGAAGTCCAATTTATCTTTTATAAACTTTATTTTAATTCTTTTAGAGAGGGAGGGGGAGGGACAGAGGGAGAGGGAGAGAGAGAATCTTAAGCAGGCTCTCCACCCAGTGTGGAGCCCGACACAGGGCTCGATCTCACAACTCTTGA